AAAATCACAAATTAGAGGAGTGCCTATAGGGTGGAGTAGGTTTTGTATGTTCTTCAAAATTGCAAAGAGCTTAACAAAATATATACCTAATAATAAATATTATATTATTACTATTATTGAACGTGTTTGTATAAAAGCTAAATATTTCCTCCAAAAAAATGTCTAGGGATGCACCTGTCCTAAACGGTATACCTAATGGTGTTAACTATTCGGACGAATATACGGTTATAAAAAAAAATTTTAAAATATTATTGTCGAAAATAAATTGTAATACAATCGTTTATAGTACATTCAGTTCGGTCGATCACTTCGAATTGGACTTTCAAACACGTTATACAGTCATAAATCATAATGTCATAACTCGGCACACGTAAGTATAAGTGCGTTTCTTTATTTCAAAAAATAAGTCCTTGTTTAACGAGGGGTCATTATGAGTCCGTTACTGTTCGCGAGGTGGAAAAAAACACCGATTATTCCGGAAACGAGAAAATGAAAATTCGGACTGTGTCAATTATAATAGTATAATAAACAAGATAATTTTGCGCACCGAGTGCCGAAGGACGTACCACAAACGATAAAATAATAATATAGATACTGCTATAGTATAGACAGGTGTATATGACGCATGACAGAATAAACGAAAAGTAAACGGGAGTCGACCGAAACGCGAGCACATCCGTACGTGGGCGGATAGGTTATTTTGAAAAACTACACGAAAATACCGATGGCCTTTATTTTCTTCTTTTTTTTTTCTTTGTCTCCAAATGTCATTTATAATTCGGTACGCCTTATGACACATTATTTACACCATGGATAAACCGATAGTTCGATATTTCAGGGCTGGGTCTACAAAGAGGGGCCCACCGTGAAACTCCAATGTATGTACTTAAAAGTAAAAATAAGCGTAATATAATAGTTTTCTTTTTTTTTACATACAATTGGTTTCACGCTTTTAGTTAAAATTATCCGTTTCGATGTATTAAACACTTGCGTTTAAACGAACGTACTTTAAATACCAAACCGAATACGATGTTCGCCCTTGTGCTGTATAGAATAACATGACATAAACGTGCGGGACCTTTGTTTCTGAAAATGTTTAACGAATTCACGTTTCAAGGGCATCGAGTATCTAATGTTAACCGCATTATGATATTGTGACGGGACATTCGTTTTCGGTGGACTCGATTACACCACACTAATGATTGGCCATACGAATGCACATTTGATGATGTTAAACCTATTTTATTGTAACTCCCGTACATGCAACTCATGACGATAATTATTATTATTATGCCTATACATAATTCGTCGTTATGTTTTATTATACAGTGGAAATAAAAAAAATAAATAAAAATAAATTGTTTCCAGAAACGTTTAAATGGTTAAAATGAATTCGTATCTCGTATAATACGAACCTCGAAAAATCGTATATTATAATTTCGTTGTGTGACGGAACAGTAGGTACCTGAGTGGTTAGACTATAGGGTTGCCAGGTAGTAATTGATAATGATGAATTGATGAACACGATTATTAGTATTATAATGTTGGCTTATCGAGCTATGCTAAGATCGTCATAATATGAAAATCGAATCTAAATCCCCTAGTTTCTAGCATTTGTGTTACAGTGTTGAGAAAATTTAGAGTAAAGAGATGATGGGTGAGTGGTTATTTATTTTACACAACGATATATCATTGTGAATGAAAATCGATTCTAAGTGAAGTAGTAGTGTTTTTCCTTTATCATTATCAACGTAATCCAGAATTCAACGGAAATCCAAAAAAGTACATAGGCAACTGGTGGACTGTAGGAAAAGTTGATAAATAATATTTGTATACAAATGAAATACCACCAGACGGAAATTTTTCATATTCTTAGCCATACCTTACTGCAAGAGAAAAACCAAACACAACCGTAGAAGTGTTTTTTGAGAAAAAAACACGTCTCTATAAAACAAATAGTTTCTTCTTTATGCTCAGGATACGTTATATTTTATATTTTAATCACGCACGTTTATTTCCGTGTCTGAAGAACGGTTTTTTTTTTTGTTCGCTCCGGAAAATTATATCTTAGAGATTGGAATTTTCCACCCAACGCCGCACCGCCGTCCCGATGGGCCGACCTCATATCGATTTCTTCGGTCTCTTTTTATATCATAAGGCTCGGGGTTGGATAAGCTGAAGCAGCAACCCCCGCACTCGGTAATATTATTATTATTATATCCTCTTAATGACACTCTCCGACAAGATAATGAAACATACTATAATGTAGATAATGGCGTATTATATTATTATACGCACGCCCGGCAAGTCCCGACCGAAACCGCCGTTATTTCGCCCATTCCTATTACAAAACGGACGAAATCCATAAAAACGTGATAGCCATACCCGATATCACAATATATAACAGCATTGCCGTCCGTTTCGCTGCGTCCGATAATAGTGCACACGAAATAACGAGTGCGGGCAAAAATATAACAGCGCCGAGACTAAAACTGTTTCGGCACAGTGGCACAGCGATCGTTTATCCGAGAGGCAATTATCTCTTGATATTTTTGGACAATTTTGAGGAGTAGGAGTGTGAAATTTATGTACACATTGACACAATAATTTATTAAATCATTGAAAAAATGTATTATAAATCGTAATATCCAGGCTCGGATTAACGCGAGTGCGGACGGCGCACGTGCATTTTTCCCTCGGAACATTAGGAGCCTATGACGTTAATAGCCACGCCCCGATTTTTTTGTTATTGAATATTTATCATTTCCTTTGTCAACATACTAAGAAATACAAAAAAAAAAAAAATACATAAATAATAACAGTAAGGTATATAGAAGATGCTTAGTGAGTTTATTTTTTTTTACAGAGAGTTCTCAAATTATATAGATCAGTGAAAAACGTTAAGGGAGGGGGGGTGGATGGCCGCCAAAATATATTTTTCTCTCTATACAAATTTTGAGTTAACCATGCCACTGCAATTCCGTGACGGCATATGGTATATAGTTACAATATTGGTAATTATATATTATCATGACGAGCATGAGTAATAATTACAAAAGCCGAGAAAATTTGCCATTTGATATATCATCCATCTAACTGAGTGGATTCCATCGAAGAAAATTACATATAATTTGCAAGTCTTACGTTTTTCCGCAGAGATTGATTTGCAACGTTGTCACGCGATTGATATTAATATGAACTCTACAGCGGTTTGGAGATTTTAATCATAACGAAAGGTATAGATAATTCGAATAATAATATCCTAAGAACACACATTATCATCTTATTAAACTAAAAATTACAGATTGCGTTCGACGTTGTTGTTTTGCGACGTTCGGAAGTGTTTTTTTTATATTCTATGTATACCACAAACCACTCGTGGAAATACAAGTTGCCCGATTTCTCATTTTGGTCGTTCGTGGGTAGTGTCTTATCGGAAAGAAAATTTTATCTTGTTAGTGAATATAAGATAGTCTTTTTCAAGCAATTTTCGTAATAATTAAATAAAATGGAAGGAATGTTATTACGGTATTAACATTTTCATTATTATCGATTTTGTTTTTTATCATAGTCACAAGTATTTGTTATTTAAAGAAAAATATTTTTTTTATTTTTACGTGGTGTAATAATTTTTTTCTATACGCAAGTTCACATTATAACGAAAATCGTAAAAACCACAGCATTTCAAAGTATAATAAATTGACGGAACTTAAAGTAAAGATTTTTTTTAAAAAATTCTCAATAATAAAATGTATAATATATTAATTATTTTTTTGATTCAACGCCTCCGAAATGTTGCTGACTGATGACTTAAGTCAATGTACTGCTGTTTGTAAATGGTTATTTTTTTTTAAACAATTGGAAATTTTTGTCTGTTATTTTTAAAACATTTTGAACTCATGTCGCGTTAATTATTACTCATAAATGACATGAAATGGTAATAAGTTACGCATCGTTAATTTGAAAAGTCCATTACTTTTTAAAAATTAATTTGTTTGGACATCGAAGTTTCGTGTGTTTTTTTCAATAGTCAGTAGCATTGAAAAAAAGTAAACACGCTTCAAATGAAAAAACACCTGTACGTTTTGAAATTGTTTTAAAATAATTTAAAATTCGTTCTCATTAGTTTCGTTTGACAGTGACTATTTTAAGGAGTTTTGTGTAGGCAATCCTAACGAAGACAAAAGCAATATAAAAAGGAAAGAAGTAAACAATATTGTATTGAAATTATTGTATCGTGCATACAAAATAAATGTTTTGTAAGAATAGTAAAATATTAGTAGGTACCAACAATGATAATTTAATTTTGTATAATATTACCACAAATTATTACCATTAGCCTAATACAAAACTCATAATATTATCGTCGAATAAAAATGATTAGAACACCGATTGAATTTTACCAGATAAATTTTCTTAAAAAGTCGCTTTCATTTGTATACAATAAATTTGCTTTCGACGCGTAACCAGGGAAGGTTGGGGGTTCGGGTGTTTAAACATTCTCCTGTAGTTATATTAAAATCAAAAATATATCATATACTAAATGTTTCGTGTTTTTACAAAATGCTTAGTTAGCTGATAATTCTATGATCATATTATAATTCATTTATATAATTTTATAACTACATGGAGGATATTCGAAGCCCCCCCCCCAAAAAAAATGTGTTTAAATATAGAATTAAACACCTCTCTTTAAAAAAATATCCTGGCTACGTGCCTGGACAAATATTAATATTTAAAAAATATAGTTTTTGCTCGGAGTATAATAATATTTTGATATCCAAAATTGTGAACGGAGAAATGCTATTTTGTTCTCTTAAAATAACAGAAACAAAATGATATTTATCGTTCGAATTATGTAATAGACTCGTCGCTCTTCGGTATTCATATTTATTTTTAAACACAGTTTTGCGTTTAAAATCGTTTTCGAAAAAACGTGTAACATATGCGAATAACATAATATTCATATTGCACGATTTGCATAGAATTTACAATTGCAGTTACGAGACAGACAGCGCGTTATGGGCAGGTGCGTTATTCTGGTGCAAGATCCACGACTTGTTTTTCCACAATACCGACCGTTTCTTACGAACTCTTTCGCGCAATGTTGCCAAAACTGTCAAATAGTAATGTTGGTTCACAGTTTGACCCTCTGGAACCCATTCAGTCATCACGATGCCGTTGATATCGAAGAAACCGATCAGCATGGTTTTGAATTTGGATTACGACTGAATTGGATTCCGGTGCACTCTCGACCTTCAGCAAATAATTTATGCTACTCAAAAACACGCGCCTGAGATAGGAAATTCTCACTATAGGGCTCTTTTAACAAATTATAGCACTCAGTTGGAGTTTTTTTTAGTTTAACGAGAAAATGTTACGTTTATCCGTTGCTCATGTTTTTCGTCACACATCGTTTTCGGCAAGAGAAAAAAACATGTTCGTTTCTAAACGCTACAGAAAAAATACTAATGCACCAACAAAAACCTAATTTTGTACTGGGATAATAGACACTTCCAGCTAACCAGCGCTGTATTCGGTTTTCCCCTAACCTTTTTAGGACGCTCTCTGCGCGCGCAGTCTCGTTATTTAATAGCCAAACCTCGTATATTCCGATTAGCAAACGTCTCGTTATTTGTATTTCAATTATCGTTTATTTCGCACCGATCGCATTCCTACCTATATAATATATGTATCATGATTTATACACTTCTTCCTCCTTCAACAACTAAGCACAATTATTGTACTCTTTTACAATAATTTCTCGTCACCTAGTGTGTTTTAATATATCTCGACGATTTGTCTTATTTTCACGCGTATCTTTTCACTCGTGTAGGTTTTATAACCGTTTGAAAATACATGAAATATAAATATATATATTATTGTAATATCAGTGTTCAAATTGGAAAATTAAAAGAAGGGAGACTATAGGAAATATAAAAATTAGCGTTCCTTGCAATTATTGAATTCAATCCAACCCGTGAGTTCATGATTGCCCTACCGCACCTCCCCTTTCTCCCTTGTTTACGCCACTACGTTCCATGCGTTCCAATTCAAACGAATAGCAAAGGTACGATTAAATTTCTGAAACATTAGTCGAGGTACTTCGTCCTCTTGCGCTCTCCCCCCGCCAATTCGATCCCTTATATGACGTTAATGTTATTTAGCATTTTCGAACGCAACGAATAAACCAATCAATTCCAAGTCATTTTTTGATTTTTTTTGTAGTTTTCCTCTTAAATGGAAAAACTGGCCATCTGTTTTTTAATTTTTGTTGATTGCTGGGTAACCTCGGTAATAAGAAACAAATAAGATAAATAATTCTCTGCTCAGAAACGTTTTTTGTTAGCAATAGTTTATCGTTGCGTACAGAGATAAATTAAATTATTCTGTACATTCTTCCTTCCAACTTTCCTTCTAAAATAGTGGCGTATTCACCTGGTATACTTTTTTTATTTACATACATAATATTATATACTACACTCGACGTTGAAATTTCCGATACACGTGTTATTTTTTTGAAGACCTACTTTTTTAAATTTTAACACGATAATAACAATGATGTATCATTATATTATTTTTGGCGTCAAACTATAAATACTATAATAGTATATATGAAAACAATGTTATTTATCGCACTCGTATTTACTACATATTATACATGTTCACAGATTGGATGTTTATTACGGTTTAAAACCGAAGTTATTTGTGTCGTCCTCGAGGCAAAACAAATTTTAAAAATATTTATACTCTCATAATGCATTTATACGAGATTTTTGCCAACAATTATTACGGTTTGTTTATTTTATAATCAGCTGATCGTACAACAGTTTCGTCGTTTTATTTTTCGTCTACACTATTATAGAGCCAATGAACTAACAGGATTTTAAACGAAATTTCTTTGCCGCTTGCTAGCTGGCAATTTTAGTCACGTAGTAACTTGTTTTATACTTTAAACGAAGCTAGAAACGTATTGGTTTTACTATGATGTGTTTGTTTTGTTTATTCGTATCTGGTAAACAACTTTTCTGTCAGAAATCTTTTCCTAACCAAAAACTTTATGGAAATTTTCTTGTTGAATTTTAGACCTGGTTGGTGCAATTATGAGGTTATTTTTAAATTTTCTTTGTAGTTTTCTCAATAAGTAAGAAACACTGGCGACTTGTCTTATAATTCAAAAACTTCTGGATTACTTTGGCAACGAGTGAAACAATACGACTAATAATAGTGTTCTGCTCACAATCGTTATTCTTTAGAAATGGTTTATTATTGCTTACAGATATAAATTAAATGTTTCTATATTGTGCACTACGTTCCAGCTTCCTTCCTAAAATGGCGACACACCCATTACTCATCACCGGCATCGGCCTTTTTAAATGTAATTCTTTATTAATACTGACTAATGACCAAGCCTATATTAAAGCGGGGTACGTCTCTCCCGTGGCCCACAGATGTCAATGGCACACTGTGATACGAAAATGTATAAAAATAGGACTCATTTTTAAATTCATCATCTGGAGTCCAACTAGATTCTCAATCCAGTCTTGCTCACAGCCCACGTAATCGGTGATACATATTATTATTTTTTTTTTTAATCCTATATTATAATAATTATTATCTAATTGGACGCATGTATTTTTTTCTTTTTCTATTAATGCCTATATGTTCTGATCAATTATCATTAATAGATGTTTTCGTAATGATATTAAAAAATGCAGACAAAAAAGATTTTTAAATATTTATGAAGATAACATGCAACATGATACATAATAAATATATATATCTAAATTATATCGCAGACGCTAAACTGCAGTTAATAATAATATGACGTAAGTATTATTATTTCATTTGACTCGAGATATAGAGAAAGAATATAACCACAATATTATCGCAATATTATTAGGAATAGGCGAATACCACTTTTTACTGATACATCTATAAATTATATTGAAAATGTTGAGCTTATAAAGAAATATAAACTACGTGTGATGAATAATATAACATTGTGTTTAGCGATAATATTATAGTACCGTTTTCGAGGATTTCGGTCTAATCGTCTTATTGGCCACGATTTTGACGCTACGTAATTCGTTATTTTTTTAATACTCAACGACCTTGTCACAAACGTCCAAAACGACATTACGTATCCCACCTACCTATTAACAATTATACGGATTTATCGCGGTTGTCAAATCAAGACCGATTAAAACCACAACTGGTACATACCTAATAACCTATTACAATATACACAGATAGCGGCGGAGGTAAAGTGAGAGAGCAGGAAAAAGCATAGCGTGTTGTTTTTTGTTACGCGTATTATAGCCGGAGGAACGGTTGTTGATGGAAAACGTAAATATTGTTGTACACGAGTTTATTATTATAATTGTTTGTTTACCAAACGATATCTGTGTGTCTACGCCGTAGGTATTTATTTTTTTTTTACTGCACCGTGTCTTTCGTTTATATGAGTCAATATAATAAATTATACGCGTTGTAATTTGTAAAATTGTATAGGTTAGTACCTATACTAACAGATATTGTATTGGAATAAAAAAAATTGTATCCGATACCGATGAATCGTGAATATTATGCTGATCGTAAGATCCCATATTATTAGGTACATATCGGTAATCTTTTCCATCAAACCGTTTAGAATATCTATTTTTATATCTACCAAAAATATTTTCATATCTCATAATATAAATTTAAAAAAAAAATATACATATATAATTTACATACATTCGATTACCATAACAGTGTATACGTAAAAACACTTTAAATGATGCAATTACATTAACGTAATACATGAATTAAAAAACAAAAAGTTATAGTATAGTGCTTTGAATGTACTATGTGAATAATTCGGAGTCTTCTTACTTACTGAAAACGTGTTTCCCAAAGGTAAATAAAATTCAAAAAATCCAGTGGATAATCTGTAGAAAAATGTTCCAAAATTAAAGTACCACCAGTTAAAAAATCTTCATTTTTATGGTTAACTCAAATAAATCGGAGTATTTTTACTTGGTAACTGAAAAAGTGTATTTCAAGAAAAAACACACATCTCAGTAAAACTAATAGTTTTTTCGCTTCACTTAGAATATAACATTATGGATTTCTGTTATTTTTCGAAATTATATTATTTTATAGTTTTCATATAAAAAAAATACGTTTCATAATAATAAAAAAATAAAAGAGGCAGACAAACTTCACAGTTCATACCGTGAGCCACTGTTTAGGTGAGAAGTCTGGTTGATATATTCTTAGAAATTGGATATAGGGCATTTAGTTTATACACTAAAAGTAACAATAAAGTTGTGAATTTTTTATTTTTTAGAAAAACTATTAAAAAAAGGTTTCAAGTTAAGTACCGCTGAGCAAAAATTCCCCTCAATAGTTCCAAATAAAAATTCCATGTAATGTGAAACAATTATGGGGCTTTATTGCTAAAATTTTTTCCGAGAAAAAAAATATCTAGAGGTGAATTGTTGAAATTCCAAAAAAAGTTTTAAGTAAACTACCACGAGAAAGCGAAACATGTTTGTTTTTTAAAATATTTTTTGCGCCAAAAATATGTTTCCGGAAAATTAAAACAAACTTTTTGGATTGGGAATTTCAAAAACATGTTTCGGATAACCGAAAAAGTAGTTTCCAAGAAAAACAAAAAACACAAAAACCGAATCTTAGGAAAACTAATATAATATAGCTTCTTGGTGTTGTACACTCAGAATCTAAAACGACCGCCGTACGGACTAAATTATAAACGAGTTGCCATACCGTTGTTGCATAACGTCCTAATCTTCAAATTTAACGATAGTAATAACGATTACTATTGTACCGATTAATTCGGGTTTTCGTATGCACGATTGACGTTCGCGGTTGCCACCAAAACACACACGTACGCGTATATGATATCACGTTAATTTAATATATTTTAATAAACACACGATGAAAGGTTAACTTGGATCGGTGTGTGTTTCGCGGATGTAAATATTGTTTTAAAATTTTAAAACACATAACAAAAAATTAATAATAAGTATTTGGATTAATTATTGTTTTTTCCCCAGTGCGTGTTTTTTCGCCTCTCGTTCGATAAGATGTCCGAACCCAACGGTAGGTTACAATGATAATAATCAATAACGAATTTCCGGTGCGGTAGTCCCGTCACGAATAAGTAAAACAGCGTAATCGGTTTTTTTTTTTCTTTTCA